CAAAATGAAGTTTGTGCTAATGATGTCATTCAGAAGAACTATGAAAGCTTCAAGACTAAACTATTCAGCTCAGAGAACAAAAACTACATTAAAATCATTCACATGAGCGATAAATCTTCTCCACCATCTTATAAATTATAGTCTTATCATATTCATTAACATAATCTAGTGCTGACATTTAGTTTATACCTTAAAGATTTCGTTTCAAATGCTTTTTACTTAAGTTTTAGATCATATATACATGTAATACCTTAAAATCTCCATAAATCATATTTCATATTAATTATAAACGAACTCATGAAGAAACAATGATTATTTCAAGTGACAACAAATTGTTTTCTTCTTCTTTCATTTAGAAGTAAACAGAATACATACATAGAGAAATTAATTAATTTATGATAGATGTATATTTTTTTCAATTTTCATTTTAGTCAAGTGTAAATTAGATAGATACATAATAAATTGTCATTACTTTTGGTTGGTTGCTTGGTTGCTTGGTCGGCTATTTGATTTCAATATTCAATAATCATTCAATTGAATGATTTCATTGATAATGAATTCATTCACTTGAATGAAAACTCGTTAATTAGGTTCTAATTCCAAAAAATAAAGTGAGGTAGATACAAATTATTGACTTCTATTGAAAAATATATTATGAAATTCAAATGAATAAACGGATTATGTAGTCAGTTAATTAATTTGTATACCCATTAGTTACATTTAGATTAACAGAATTTGATTGTGGGGGGTGGGATGGGGTGGAGAGGGGAGTGGAGAAGAGAGGAGGGGGAAAAATGTGAGATATTAAATGTCTATTTGATTATATTATTAAACTATAAAGTTTAAAGAAGATCAACTAATCATTGTAAATTTTATGTTTGTTTGTTTTTCTTTTAGTGAAAAATTTTTATAATTAAAACTGACAAAACATGCTTTAGTGATGATATATAGTGACCAATGAAATTCAACCGGGTTTGTTGTGAGATAGTAACTCACTAAAGACAATGATGGACGGTGGTGCAATTTTGTGGATTTGGTGAAGTTAGACATTAACACCGTTGGATGGCGGCTTGGTGGTCTAGTGGTTAAGCGTTTGCGCGTAAAACCGATAAGTCCTGGGTTCGGATCTCGCGAGGCGGGGTTGTAGTTGCGTACCGATGGGGAGTTCCACACTAAGATGAAACGGCCGCTCAGTGTTTCCAGGTTTTCATAATGATCTAGCTTCAATTAACTCATGATCTCAACTATTAAAACTTATCCATTTGACTAACATAGAGTTAAAAGAATTCATGACAATGCAATAGTTGGAGATGAGCTTCCGTAAGAAAAATAAAAGCTAAAATTATAGTGCGAATAGATTGTGTTTTTATCATTTATTATTTAGTTTGAAATCATTCTGATTTTACTGAATAAAATCTCTATCACAAATTACTGAATTATTTAATTAAACGAGAGTCATTCTACAAAACAGATCATTATTAGAATGAGGGTTTGTGGAGATTTAGTAATTTTTAATAGTTGAATTCATGAATTTATTTAAGCTGGATTACCATTGAAAACCTGCGCACTGTTGAGGAGCCCCACACTAGAATGAAATCGCCATTCAATGTTTACAGGTTTTAAATGGTGATGTAGCTTAAATCGAATTACAAACCCAACTTTTAAAAAACAGACTACGCTACATGCTGGAAAAATATAAACGTGATACATTACAGTTGTTGTCAAAAGATTATAACGTAGATGCTTTACTATATTTCACCTATAAGTATACATTATATACTTAGAGTCATAAGCATAGAGCTGAATTAAAATATTCCAGTTAACAATCGAATCTCATGAGGCGGAATTGTGGATCCGCACTTCTGAGGAGTCGCACAACAGAACGAAACTATCGTCCAGTGCTTCCAGGTTTTCTATGGTGGTCTAGCTTCAATTGACTAATGATCTTGACTATTGAAATAAATATTTGTTATTCAATTTTGATAAGATATTTTTAAATGTGTTTATTTTCGAATCTTTCGCTTTGCGTCCTCTCAACTTCGTAAACAACACCCCCACCGCGAGAAGGCAATGAGTAGGACTTCGCTGGCAGAGGTTGTATTCACGTGGCTATGTAAGAGCATTTAGAGAGAGAGAGCTGACTGTCCCCACTCTCAGCCGTACCAGGGTATTTGAGTACTTGAATTGAGATGTCTAACTGGTGTAACTGACACCATTAGTTGCTGTGACATATGCTTAGTAACTAAATAAATTTGATAAGTCGTAGTCCCTACCCAGTAAGTCATTGATTTACAGTAACTAACTAACTTGTTTGCTAGGCACAATACTTATTATTAATTGTAAGCATTTATTTTCTCCTATTACAAGTATTCGAAGTTAAAACCGATCAATCACTGTGTTTTGTCTATGCTGCTTTATGAGAATGTCCAAATTCTGTCCTAATTGTCACCATTAGTCAAATAAAAACGATTAGAACTGTTGGTGGTGGGATTTGTAGCCTGATTTCTATGTAAAATTGAAAGTATGTAACAATGGAATATATTTTATGATTCACAGTATTCTGATGCGATACAAATTTAGTATCATACAAATAGATATTCTTACAGATTTTAAGTGACAAACTGGTTTTAGTTAGACGTTTGAAAACATAAAGTCCCTGGGAGGCTGTTTAACTAAGTATGGAGCTTTTCAACAGTCCTCACTCACGGCTTTACACTTGGGGGTCGAACTCAGGACTGGTCTCGTACTCGTACGCTTAACCTCTAGATTACTATGTCTTCATTCAACGGTGTGAATGTATAACTTTAATTAATTTACGAAATTTAGCAGCCGACAATATATATTCGTTCTGTGTGTATTTTATTCTAAATTATATGTTAACTAACAAGTTGTACAAACATCATGCAACACTTTATGTATGACGATCTGGATTTAAAATATCCATCCAAAAGTATGATTGATTCAAATAACAAGAACTTGAAAAATCATAACTCTCAATTATTACATTCTTATCTTCCTTTATTAAGTGGACAGTTGTTTCCAGCTTTTATTTAGTAGATTATTACATCTTCTTACTTTTAAAACTATTACAGAACGTAAGCTCTTGATGATCTTTGACTACTACTGCTACTACTACTACCACTACTACTAATAATACTACTACTACTACTACTACTACTACTACTACTACTACTACTACTACTATTAAATGTTGCGACACTACTTTCTTCTTCAATGGTTAAAACTTTGATTACATTAAAATAAAACCCTTCCATGTATAAACTATTATACGCGTTGTTTAAAATCTGTTGATAATCGTGACTATATTATGCAACACCACTTCATTTTCAGCTTTCAGTATCTATCCATCATCTTCGATAAAGTTTTTCTACCAAATCAGCTTCTACAAATTTCATTTCATCCACTGTATACTAGATGGGTAGATTTTTATTGAAATCATGAATTAATCTACGTTAAACCACCGTTGAAAACCTGGAAGTACTGAACATTATTTTGTCCTAGTGTGAAATTACTTGGTAGTGCTCGTCTACAACCACGCACGTGGGAATCGAGCTCACTGTCTGAAGTCTCCCACGCGAATACTCAATCTCTGTAGACCGCTGAATTGGTCTCCGACGGTGTTGATGCTTAGCTTCGATCAATCCATTTCACATTGTCTTTGATGAGTAACTGCCTCAAATCTGACATGGATTTGCCCCACTGGCTATGACGTCTCCTCTCGAAGCTAGGCTCTGGCGAGCGCATGACAATTGTCAATAAGGATTGTTGAAATTGTTGAATTTGATTGGAATCATGAATGGATCTAAGATGTATGTATTCCAAATACAATCGTCCATTATTTCTTCATAGGATAGACAATTAGGAAATCATTTCGATAACTACATTGTCTCCGTTGGAGTTTTCAAGTATTTATCGTATCACTATGGTTTGGAAACGTTTTTTGTAAATACACATATACAATTTACGCTCATAATTATTTAGTTCAAACAAACCTTAAAAATGGTGATTTCCTTAAAATACAAACACATGGCTCAAATGTCTAAGGAAAATAATCTCAATAACCGAACAGATATTACATCTACTAACTTGATTTTAATCTAATATATGGATATGAATTGGTGTATTATAGTACTTAGATTTCCTGGTTCCTATTATAACTGTATATTGCTGAAATCACTTTAATTATGATATAAAATTGGTTTCGTATAACTTGATAACATTTAATAGTTGAACTCATAGGTCAATTGAAGCTAGACCATCATGGAAAACCTGGAGGCACTGGACAGCCTTTGTGTTCTATTATGGGACTCATCAGTAATGCGCATCCATGATCCCGCCTCATGAGACTCGAATTCAGGACCTAACCTGTCGACCACTAAGCCGCCACTCAGCGGTGTTAATGTCTAACTTCAACAAATCCACGAAATTGCGCCACTGTCTACTATTGTCATCAGTGAGTTAACTATCTCACAACAGAACCAGTTGAACTCCATTAGTCAGTGCTTCTCATTAAAACTCCAGGAAATATCTCTTGAAGTCAGTCACTAGTGAGCATATGATGATTATAATCCCAAAAGAGTTTTTTCAAATTTATCAAATTGACAATATTTACGCATATTGAAAATATGATTATGTAATAAATATATAATTATCAGAATGAGTTTTGTGGAGATTTTTAGAAATTTCACTAGTTAAAATCATGAGTCAATTGAAGCTAGACCATCATGGAAAACCTGGAAGTACTGGACGGCCGGTTCGTCCTATTGTGTGACTCCTCAGCAGTGCGCATCCACGATCCCGCCCCCCGCGAGATTCGAACCCAGGACCTATCAGTCTCGCGCCAGGCGCTTAACCAACTAGATCACTGAGCCGGACGATATCCAACGGTGTTAATGTCTTCCAGGTTTTCCATGGTGGTCTAGCTTCAATTGACCAATGATTTCAACCAGTGAAATATATATAATTAATTAGTTACTAACCTGTATGTGTTCTAATATGTACATACATATTACTATAATGTCTTGTTGTATAATTACATAATTTACATTTTAATAATGATTCACCTGTACTAGTTGCATGGGTTTTTTGTAAATGTCTTAATAAATTTTTTTCAAATCGAAAACATTTATGACATAATGGACATAACATATTTTGATCTAAAATAAATTCATTAAAATTTAATGGTGGAGAATATGAAATAGATGGAATTGTATTAGTAGTTGTAGTAGTAGTAGTAGATTGTAATTGTAATTTTGTATCATCAATAATTTCATTGAAATTAGATTTATTCAATGATATAAATGATGAATTCATAATTGTATGTTTAGTATTCAAAGAACAATCAGTGATTGGTGGTGGTGGTGGTGTTGTTGTTGCTGCCGCTGATAATGATCGTGATGGGGATGATGATGATGATGATGTTTGTTTCCAAATTGAACTATTTTGATATAATTCAGGATGATAATTTTCTGTACAACATATATCTGACCATAAAGGGTTACATTTAGAATGATATATTTCGGGTATATTAAATGAAGTCCTATATGAATCTAAATGATACTTATTATCAACATGGAAATCTCTATTATTATTATTTTCATCATTGAATTGTACTGTTGCTTCTTCAAGAGGTAGATTATCATCTAATTTCAATAAATGATTACTTTCATGGTTTATATTCTTGATCAAAGTGTTATCATCATATAAATTATTACAATTGATTGATTGATTTAACCACTGATATAAGCAATTTCTTGACTCATTATTATTATATACATTAAACTGATGATATGGTTCAATGATATTTGTTGAGGATAACAACGATGGTGATGATGATGTTGATGACGACGATGATGATGATAATGATGATGATGACGATGCCCAATCTTTGTTAGATGATAAATATTCAAATAATAAACTATTTAATTTATTCAAATATTTTTTGATTAAGGCATTTCTATGAGTTAAATCGATTAGATCTGGATTTGTATGGTTTCCGTTACTATTATTACCATTACTATTATTATTATTATTATTAACCGGACTATTAGTAGATTGTAATCTAGTCATTATGTAATTATCATAATTTGATAAAATTACATTTTGTAAAGTTTGTCGAAACAATTCTGTTCTCATTAATTTTGTCCAGGTAAATAATAATAAAGGGGATGGTATAAATTGTTGTATATAATAATATTGTTTTGTATAATTTTGAAAAATATTTACTTCATAATTATCATTTATGATCTTCTTATTCGGATCATGATTATTCTGATCATTGTTAAACTTATCATAATCACTATGGTGATCTAAATGATTGCTGAACATTTGAATAATATGATGTATACTTAGGTTATATTGTATAAATCATAGATTGTTTATTAAAGATACTGACAGTTAGAATAATGATGAATTATTCTTATTCATTTAGAAACTGTATAATAAAATAAAAAGTGGAGAAGATTTATAACTCAGATGAATGATTTTGATGGAGTTTTGTTGTCTGAGCTGAATGGTCTGATCATGAAGCTTTCATCGTTCCTTTGAATGATATCATCAGCACAAACGTCTATTTGAAGAACGATGAAAACTTCACAACCAAACCATCCAGCTCAAAGAATAAAACTCCATCAAAAATAAGAAGTAAATGAATTCAATGAAGAGATGTTTATGATTCTTTTTTAAAAAGAAAAGACACAATCTCCAATTACCGAATCAATATCTTATGTAACATACTTGATTTCTAGTGAAGAATGTAATGATACAATTTAGAATAAAATATACGAAAATTTTGATGAAAATTAGCATCATGAACTAGTTGATTTCAGATAGAGAACTATTGGAAAGTATAGAGCAATTGATAGTTATTTTGTTCTGGTATGAGACTTCACAGGAAATCTTCCAACGACCTTCTCTGGAGTCAAATTCGTGACCTTCAGATTACTGAGTTAGTGACATCTAATAGCTTACATCTCCGGGTTCAATTAATTCGTGACATTATTGTTGTCTATAAATAAGAGGGGTCAGTTTGCAACTAAATGGAATGTGAGTGCTGGATAAAATTGATTCCTTTCAATCACCCATGATATTTAATCATGTTTATTTTTCTGTTCATATATTGTGTACAATCGTTTTGTTTTATTAGAAATAAAAACCTATTCATCTGTGTACCTGAATTTTCAGTCTACAATAAACTACTGGTCTTTTATTTGATCTCAAATCATACGATGGCTTAGACCAATGTTTTTGTAAGCAGCTATCATTCGATCCCATTGTATCCCTACATATCATTCATTGACAAGCATTGTTTTACCTTATTTTAACAATCGCAAATTTGGTCATGAAATCAAGAAACCTTAATCCATAACTTTATACTAATGCCAGTCCTTGAATATAAGCTATCTTAAAATTGAACAATATCTCTGAAAAGATCAGGAAGAAGCCAATGCAAATTCTACATACTGATTTCATTCAAATATCGCATACTCATATCTTTTGAAATATAAATATAATGTACACAAGTACCTATCAGGTAATTTAATAATGATGTGAATAGCAGTCTAGCGGTTTTTAGTATGCAATTTGTACAATTTAATGTTTGAACTGGGAAGGAAATAGGGTTAAATAATTCTAAGAACTGATAACTTTGTAACAAAATATTATATTTGCAGTGACTAGTCACTGAGTAGTGACCATTGTCATCTTGTACAGTTCTTGATGATAATTTTGTTACCTGTCCCTTCCTACAATCTAGATATTTCAACAAGTTATCTGTTTTGTTGATTGTACAACCGACCATTTCGAGATTGGATAATACGACAACAAAAGTATTTCATGTAAATTCTGTGCAAACTTTTATGTGACTGTATTGAACATCGAAACGCCCTGTTGCTAACCCATTCTTATTCTGGTTTTATGAAATCCCGTTCATTCAGTGCAGCGTCCACGGAGTAACTAGCTAAGAAATAACATAACACACTGATTCTGCTAAAATTTAACTCTATTTGTTTTTATCTTATTCATTCCTTTCCAAAGTATGAAGACGTATGTCTACCATTGAGTGAAAAATAATTTCATTAAAATTATGGACCGATTTAAGTCAGAATATGATTAAAAACTGGAAACGTTGGAGGGCTGTTACGTTTTAGTATGGGACATCTCAAAAGTGTGCATCCACGACTCTGCCACGGAATCGAGTCCAGGATCTTCGATCTTGTTCAAGAACCCTTAACTCCCACAACGGCTTACTGAATAACTGACGAGCTTAAGTTGTGCTAGATCATGTAGCAAAATTAAGCAAGCTTGGAACAAATGTTGCTTTCTCAAAATTTTAGTAAAATATTAAAACATCAACTCCGCCTGTAGCTCTTCTAGAGTTACTGACGGTTCCAAACCCGGGTAAAAGAGAAGGGTTGGGCATGGGGTTAGCGACCCCATCCCGTAGAAACTAACTCGCTAAAAAACGCTAACCAGAAAAATTATTCAAACCATTTTAACTCTGTCCTGAAAGTTAGAAGGTCTTCATTTAGAAGAATTATGACGCCTCATGGTGAAAGCCGAGTCCCTTCGGAAGCCACAAGGCCGATGCCCCTTCTAACAACCAGAGCAATAATTTTTATAGGTACATGGAACGTCCAAACAATGTGGGAGACCGGGAAGACCAGTTAAATAGCAACGGAAATGGGGAAATACAACTTGGCAGTACTGGGAATCAGCGAAACCCATTGAACCCAAGCTGGACAGCAAAGGCTAAATACGGGAGAGATGCTGCTATACTCCGGTCACGAAGAGGAAAATGCTCCCCACACTCAGGGAGTTGCTCTGATGCTGTCCAAAGTAGCACGAAATGCACTTGTAGGATGGAAATCTCACGGATCCAGAATCATCAAAGCATCATTCAAAACAAAGGAGGAGGGGATCACAATGAATATTATCCAATGTTATGCAACCATCAATGATAGCACCGACGACATTGAAGATTAATTCTATGAGAGGCTGCAACCAATCATAGAGAAGTGCCCAAGAAAGGACCTCACCATTCTGATGGGAGATCTAAATGCCAAAGGCGGAATAGACAACATCGGATATGAAGATATCATGGGAAGACATGGACTGGGAGAGAGAAATGAAAACGGGGTAAGATTTGCAAATCTGTGTGCATTCAATAGATTGGTCATAGACGGTACAATAATCCCACACAAACGTATACACAAAGCTACATGGATCTCACCGGACCACACTACAGAGAACCAGATAGATCATATTTGCATCAATAAAAAGTTCCGAAGGACATTGGAAGATGTGAGAACAAGGAGAGGTGCTGACGTAGCTTCAGATCACCACCAATTTAAAACTGAAACTAAAGAAGAATTGAACAACTGGACAAACAGCACTACAAAGGTTCAATACAGCCTTTCTTCGAGATACTAACAAAATCAACGAATTCAAGATAGCTCTCAACAACAGGTTCCAAGCCTTACAAGATCTACTGAAGGAAGAAACTACTATGGAGGACAACTGGAAAGGTATCAAAGAAGCATTGACTTCAATATGTCAAGAAGTTCTGGGCCTAAAGAAACACCATCATAAGGAATGGATCTCTATAGAAACATTGGACAGGATCAAAGAATGGAAGAAAAGAAGACAGCAATTAACAACAGCCGAACACGAACAGAGAAAATCCAAGCACAAGCTGAATACATAGAAGCAAACAAGCAAGTGAAGAAGAGCATTAGAGCCGCCAAGCGGAAATACATGGAAGAACTAGCAACGACGGCGGAAAAAGCTGCAAAAGAAGGAAATATGAAACAGCTTTACGATACAACGAAGAAACTTGCAGGGAAATATAGTAAACCAGAGAGACCGGTCAAAGACAAAGAAGGCAGGACAATCACTGGAATTCAACAACAGAGGAACAGATGGGTAGAGTATTTGGAGAAACTCCTGAATAGGCCGGCTCCAATGAATCCATCGGACATCGAAGCAGCACACACAGATCTTCCTATAGATTCCAATCCACCAACGACGGGAGAAACCAGAATGGCCATCAAACAAATCAAGAGAGGGAAAGCAGCAGGACCTGACAATATACCAGCTGAAGCACTGAAGTCAGACATCGAAGTAACCACAAGCATGCTTTACTTTCTATTCAAAAAGATTTGGGAGGAGGAACAAGTCCCGATGGACTGGAAAGAAGGACACCTCATCAAGATTCCAAAGAAAGGAGACCTGAGCAAATGTGAAAACTACAGAGGCATTACACTACTGTCAGTACCAGGAAAAGTCTTTAACAGAGTGTTGCTGAACCGGATGAAAGATGCAGTAGACGCCCAACTTCGAGATCAACAAGCTGGATTCCGTAAGGATCAGTCATGCACAGACCAAATTGCAACACTACGGATCATCGTCGAACAATCATTTGAGTGGAGCTCGTCACTGTACATCAACTTCATTGATTATGAAAAGGCATTTGACAGTGTAGATAGAAGAACGTTATGGAAACTTCTTCGACAATACGGAGTTCCTGAAAAGATTGTCAATATTATCCGGAACTCATATGACGGACTACAGTGCAAGGTCGTGCATGGAGGACAGCTGATAGATCCATTCCAAGTAAGGACCGGAGTCAGACAAAACTGTCTACTCTCTCCCTACTGTTTTCTTCTGGTGGTCGACCGGATTATGAAGACCTCAACGTCTGAGGGAAAACACGGCATACAATGGACAGCCCAGAATCAATTAGACGATTTGGACTTCGCAGATGACCTGGCCCTCCTATCGCATACACACGAACAAATGCCCCTGAATGCCCTGGTACGGCCGAGAGTGGGGAGAGTCCGCTCTCCCTCTCCAAATTCTCTCACACGGCCACACGCATACAGCCTCTGCCAGGGAAGTCCTACTCACTGCCTCCTCGTGACGGGGTGTTGTTTACGAAAATGAGAGGACGGAAATCGAATGTCTGGCGCTTTAACCGGATTCCAAACCAATGATGCACATAGTCTCCAGTAACCTACGGGAACAAATGGCGTATGAACCTACTTCGGTTTGGGCACCCAAGCAGTATCACAGCCCCCACACATATCGAATGAGATTTGTGTGGCACAGATGTATTTTGTGCCTCCTTGTACCAATACCTATATGTTGAAAATTAAATAAATAAATAAAACACGAACAAATGCAGATAAAGACAGCCAGTGTAGCAGCAGTCTCTGCATCAGTAGGCCTCAACATACACAAAGGGAAAACCAAGGTCCTCAAATACAACACGGAGAACAGCAATCCAATCACTCTTGATGACGAAACTCTGGAAGATGTAGAATCCTTCACATACTTGGGAAGCATCATCGATGAACAAGGACGTTCAGATGCAGACGTAAAGGCGAGGATTGGAAAAGCAAGGGCCGCATTCCTACAATTGAAGAACATATGGAACTCAAAACAACTGTCATCCAATATCAAAGTCAGAATCTTCAATACAAACGTCAAGACAGTTCTACTATAAGGAGCTGAGACTTGGAGGACTACAACAACCATCATCAAGAAGGTACAAGTATTTATAAATAGTTGTCTATGCAAGATACTCAACATCCATTGGCCGGATACCATCAGCAACGGCCTTCTGTGAGAGAGAACAAATCAGCTTCCATCTGAGGAAATTCGGAAAAGACGATGGAAATGGATAAGACATACATTACGGAAATAATCGAACTGCATCACGATGCAAGCCCTAACTTGGAATCCTGAAGTTAAGCGGAAAAGAGGAAGGCCAAAGAACACACTACGTCGGGAAATAGAAGCAGATATGAAAAGGATGAATAGGAACGGGAAAGAAATGCCCAGGACCAGGTTGGATGGAGAATGCTGGTGGGCGGTCTATGCTCCTTCACGAGGAATAACAGGAGTAATTAAGTAAGTAATTTAAAAAATCAAGTGCATTTTTCGTATACATTAATAGCCTATGATAATCAATTTTTAAGGCTGCTAAAGGCGAATCCCAGAGCAGTAGAAATATTAACAGTATTAGTAATCACAGTAATAATAATAATAATAATAATAATAATAATAATAATAATAATAATAATAATAATAAGTATAGGAAGAAAAAGACATAGCGAGATTTTCGGACTTTTGATCTAAGAGAAGACAGATTGGATGAATTTATACTATAATGAACGGCTTTCAGACATATCAAGCAGAAACTCTATCCACTGGTTGCAATTATCGCACGGATCCCAACATAGTATTCTGAACACAACAATATGACAGCACAACTTTCAATAAATTCATGGAAATTTTTTGCCATTTTTCAGTTTGAATGACACTAACTTTCTTCAAACCGACTCTTAAGCCAGACAAAATTACCCATCGAGGTAGGTAGGCTGCAGTTAAGTATATGTAATTGTTATAATCTCTGTTTCTTCTTACGGTTAATGACCCAGCTATTCCTATTGCTTAGTATTCTCGGACACCGATTCACTCGACAAGTCCCCAAATCAGAACACGGTTGAACAGGGAAAAGATTATATTCCAAATAGCAAATCAGAAGCCAGTAGGAAGCACAATAGGGGAAAACGTCGGTATATTTATAGTTTTTACATAAGAAGATTCCAGAATATTCTCCGACTATCGACTAGTGCTGATTGGATAAGAATCAGCCAATCAGCGTGCACCAAAATAATCATGCATTGAGGATGCTTTAATCTAGTCTATGTCCCGCTAACACCTCCCCTCTGAGCAGATTCGTAGGATCTGGTGCTAGGGTCCAACTGCAACTGAGTGACTGGCCTGTGCTTCCGATTAGTTCATCGTCTAGGCAATAAAGAATTATCACTTTTTTTTCTCGCACAGAGACTGACATGTCTGTTCCCGGCGTTTTTATTTTAAAAAAAAAAAGTATGCATAACTTTTAATTCTCCAACATTCTCCTCCTCCGCGAAACAATGTCGGATCCTTATATCTCCAAGTTACAAATAATCGGACTTTATTTAAACGACGTTTCTCGCATTGAATGTCGGATCCACTAGAAACGACTAGATGATAATGAACGACCTTTGATTTGAGGTCAAAGTTTAATTCTTCTGAAGCATTACTTTCAAATCCATTAAGAATTTCATCAGTGGATAATGGATCATTACGGAAATCAACATCTAACAAAATTAAATTAGACTTTTGACCATAATTTGACTCAGCTGATATATTTTCCTGATTTTTATGAGAAATTTCATCAAAATAACATGCATTGTTCTGAGAACCCATGTCTGATACATTGTCATTAGAAATCGGATAAGCTGATTCAATATAAGTTTCTGTCTCACAATGATTTTGAGTAACATTCGGTATAATTGGGTTCGTTGTGTCACTGCAGTTATTTTCTGAATACGAGTCCCCATAGCTTTCTTGGCTAATATCACGTGGACCATAAATTTGTTCTAGCTGAAAGTTATTTTCAGAGCTAGACAGGACCAGTAGTGCTTCATTCAATTCTGGACTCCGGGCTTCATCTACAGGGTCTGACTCTTGATAATCTCGTATTGCCACAACTTTATGCGCATTCAGCACAGGATTTTCTTGCTGTGAGCCGGAAACGTTACAAATATTACGTTCTGATTCAGGTATAAAGGGATTTGAACCCTCAACGAGATATGCTTCTGAAATGTCTGTTACTGCATCATAAACAGATTTCTTATTTTCTGGTCGAGTGAAAAGTGTGCTCAATAGTTGTTGTTGCAAGGCTAACAACTTCTGCTGGTGCTGTAATATTAACCGCAACTGTTCTAAAGAAATCGCCATTTTTCTTTAGTTTTTCCCCGTCGCCACTGTTATGATCTCTGTTTTTCTTCTTACGGTTAATGACCCAGCTATTCCTATTGCTTAGTATTCTCGGACACCGATTCACTCGACAAGTCCCCAAATCAGAACACGGTTGAACAGGGAAAAGATTATATTCCAAATAGCAAATCAGAAGCCAGTAGGAAGCACAATAGGGGAAAACGTCGGTATATTTATAGTTTTTACATAAGAAGATTCCAGAATATTCTCCGACTATCGACTAGTGCTGATTGGATAAGAATCAGCCAATCAGCGTGCACCTAAACAATCATGCATTGGGCATGCTTTAATCTAGTCTATGTCCCGCTAACAGTAATACATTTTAAAATAATCTTACTCGATGAATATTTACTACCTCACTAACAATTTTTCATTTTTACCTGGTACCCTCTACATACACTTGGGCGTTGCTCAATCTATGGTATTAGCTTACATGAACAATCCATTGAAGCAACTTATTAATTTCTTCCATTCTTCATGGTAATCTTTCACACCCATAAAGTAACCTGAAGTTTCTAAACATCTATTTCAGAAAACATAGACTTGTAATTTCTGATGAAGAAACACAACAATTAAACCGAAACTGTACTCCGTCATGGTGTTATTAATGTTTCCCCTGTTAGCCAATGCTTTAGTGAGGACTTTTTACTTTATACATATATATATGAAAGAATATAGATGAATGCAGTCGGAAATATAAATAAACTAGTTATCTAATCAACATTTCAAATAATTGTGTAATAACTTACATTTTATGAAGATTACACCAAATACTTTCTGGGATAGATAAAGTTAGTGAATTACGCATCTCCCATAATTCTGGTCGAAAATAACCATGTTCACAGAAAAATTCTGATGTCATTGGACCTGGTTCAGCCCATGTCCAAAAGCGAACAACCCAAGGTTTGCTTACATAACACATTTTACCGGATGGTGTTAACTTTAAACAAGAATAATATAAAAATTTTACAGAAATGTATCAATTATAGAGAATTGTTGTAGTGATTTCTATTATTACTTAAAAAGAAGGATAAACGTTACATAGGCCGAAAAACCTTCGTGTCGATTGTATAAAAAGTGGTAATCACGATAGCTTTTGATCAAAAAGCAATTCCTTATATTCAGAAATATGTATATTAAGGAGGAAGAATGTATTTGTAACAACTCAGAGAATGATTCTGAAGTAAATCCAACGTTTCGGTCGGCAACATGGTCCAAGCTTTTTCAAGGAAATATAATCAGATATAATATTCTTATCATATCTAAAAAGTTTATATGTTCTTTTTAAAACTTCCACCGATCAGAGGCAGTAAATAGTGAATGAAATTTCTTCTCACACCTCAGATCCACTTACGAATACAAACAATCTGTTCATATTAACACACTTTGTGTTACACCACCACATGTCTCATACACACTAAAGTAAATAACTATGTTAAACATTGTTAACATGATTGGAAGACCGATTAAGTAAACAGTTAACCGAAGAACAACGTACCTAACTATATTCCATAATTCTGATGTTTGATTATATTTCCTTTAAAAAAAACTTGGACCATATTGCCAATTGAAACGCTGGATTTACTTCAGAATCATTCTCTGAGATTTTACAAATACATTCCTCGGCGCCCAAATACTGTGAAACTATTAATTCAACTTTAGACGAAAGTTCTTATATATGTATATTAGTGTACTTTGCGTATATATATATAGGAATTTTTGAGAGAAAAAAACAAATATAGTTAACTAATTTACAATATACAGACTAATGCACTCGATCTGTGTGGGTTAATTAAACTTCACCCAGCTAACTAAACAGAAATAGATGAGGCGGTAGTGTGATTTGATGTTTGAATTTCGAGTGTTTTGGTTATTATCAGGTCACGTTTAAAATTAGAATGTCACTTATACATTAAGGAGAGTTCAATGCCAAAATCAACAATTTAATATTTTCGACAACAAATGAACCGAAACAATAAAAAAGCAGGTATATACAGCTGGTGATTGAAAGAAAAAAGAGTTGACTGTTAGTTAGGCTATTTTAGGAGAGAATAAAAAGACATGTTTCGCAGCGTCTAAGAAGGATTCACAGTTTATTATAAAGACATTACACTAATGTCCGTACTCAACCACTGAAAGTCAAGATTTCAAGTCTTTCGCAATTCACGTACTAAATGATGGATGCAACGAAGTGGGATATGTAAGGTTGAACTAGGACACATTTGCCTTAGGTCCACCATTGTCTACAAACATTATTCACACTAAGTAACACCGTATTCAGTATAAATGATATTTATTACAAACTGAAGACATGATTTCTCTAGAAATCATTCCTATTTCATTGTACATTCTCAAACAAACGAGTCAACAATCAGAAACAAACGACAGAGTGACAAACCAATGAAACACTATAGACTAAATGCTAAAAAGATAACTTAATAAGTAGTAACGATATCATAAAGTGATTCTTGTTGTTAGTCCAACCAATGGAAAGATCTGTTAAAGACACTAATAAATAAACAATCTATTATCGATTAAATTTAGACTGACTTTCTCTGCAATTCGGTACAATATGTTCACTTCAATCCATCTAAAATCATCTCATTGATTAATATGCCATATAGGGAAAAAATGTGGATATGCTATGATCTAATTTAACTTAACTAAATAACAGTTAATGCGCTCAACTTTCCGCCCATCTGTCCATTTGAGAGTGCCCAGTAACACTATTTGGCTGCTCTAAACTAAAGTTGATTAAACAAGATCCGAACATATGACCTAACGAGAAATTGAAACATAAATCACCGCCACACAAAACCATAAGGCAGTCCTACATTTAGTATTGAATTGTCGACTGCAATCACATTTAAGGTTTTCTGTTAATTAGGACATGTGTGAAAACAAACCTACAGTGTGTAGTGTAGAACAAACAAATATCATAAACACAAAACACCTACTATTGACACGTACTTGCCAAGAATTACGTATTGGTTCCAAATGTGTGTCACGTTTTCTGAAAGAAAAAGGTAAATGTTTGTTGGGAAATTTAATACAATCTTCCCATTAATAAATTCCAATAAGCCAAATCATAAATCCTACCAAGACCACCACTATGAACTAGGAAGCACTGAATAACTACTATGAGACTCCTCAGAGGTACACATCTACGGCCCCACTACTGCAGGGGACCGAAAATAGGACCTTCGGCCTTGCTCACGGATGATGAACCTCTAGACCACTGAACAGGCATCCAATGGTGTACTTCAATCCACAATATTGTGCAACTATTTTCCACAGCCTGTGGTGGATAACTATCTCATACCCGATGGACTTCAACAATGTTGGGTATATAACAGTTATTCACGACAGACAATAAAAAATGATTGCACAATATCGTGAAATGATTATAGTTAGATATGTACATCATTAGATCCAGGCTCATTGGTCTACAGATGATGTCCCAAGTGAAATGTAATAAATTCGAGACTTTTAGTATTGATTATTTTGGAAACTTCTGAAATGTCAACATTGGGCCAATTATCAAAAAGATAACAGGCAATCGTCGTTTGCCTTACTAATTTTTATCAATAGGATTTAGAGGATGTACACTGGTTTAAAATAATTATTACAATCGTTTCGAGGTGGTAACCTACGTTCGTTGTTCTTAATTTGTCCAAAAACAGTACAACAGCAAGAAAATATAGCTCGATATAATTATGATGACGAATAACAAAAGTATTATTTTCTTTCAGTTCTCTAAGCACTCGATCATATACATAGTCAGTGCTGTAATTAGCCTGTTTTCCCATCTAATCGATTTCAAAATCCACTGCACGAAACTCATTTCATCACATTATGTCATATGATTTGTATTGTTTATCATGTCTGCTTATGCGACCATATTCAACGGTTGATATTTAAATAAACAAACAACAGTAAGATATATATATATATATATATATATATATATATATAGAGAGAGAGAGAGAGAGAGAGAGAGAGAGAGGTATACCCTAACAAAGAATGAATGAAAATATACTACTTATAGATGTGATGGTAATGATGAAGACAACAGCAACAAACAAAACTATCTTCAAAATAATTTTTTAAAACAACGAATAATTGATCGACCAATGTAATTAGTAAGGTTTGTAAAAAAACGGAAAAAATGCCCAAATATTTTCACTTAGTAAATGTAACCAAATATTTACCGAAGTACATGAAAACAAAGTAATAATTACTGTATTTTGAAGGCGAAAAAAAAGAAAACCCTAACTAGAGAAATCAGATGTATGATGCTACAGCGAAACTGAAAACAAATCGTTTACAATTTTAAGTAAAAAGAATTGTCCAGTAATCTGGGTAAACAATCATATGCAACAATTCAACGAAATATTAATTATGACTTGTTATTATGTTTACGTATGATTACCGTACGTTTATTTAAATACCGCTCCTCCACTATGTCCATTTCAGCTAACATGGATGGGGTGATAATCTAATAATAAGATACAGATTCGAACTCCGCCCTACTTAATTCAGTATGAGTAATCGATTAGTATTATTAACCCTCATATTTGCAGTACACCTTAAAGCTAAGTACAGAAATCTCTATCTGGAAAATTAGTTTGATATTTCATTCGAGAGGCAGTTGTACTATAAACTACAGTAGGTTCGAACCGATAAAATGATAGCTGGAATTGAAATGATTTGATTACTACCAAAACAATCAACTTATTAACGTTACGAAACAGCTTGAGTAATAATTAAATAGAGGCAAATAATGAAACTGTATGTAAGCGATTTCATTAAAAAAGGATGAGATACAAAAAACTAAATGTAAAAATGACAATAAAGCTTATTCAAAATGTATACATGTATCATATATTACAAAACACTAACTGATAATACAATATGATTTTCATCCTAAATTTTTAAAGAGATCAATACACAATATTATTTACCTATAAAACAGGATATATGCTGAACTTTTCAATGATTCCACTTGTTCGGCATCTAATTTTCGTACATGTTCATCATTGAATTCATACCAATGTTCCGTTGAGGAATTATACGCACATGTAGTGTAATGACCACCGCCGCAACCGCCATAGTGACAGATGACACCAATTAAATCATAGGTTGTAATCTAATACAGAAATATCAATGAAAAGGCATTTATTTAATGCATTCGAAAGTAATGTGGAAGACTGTAACTAGGTAACAACACAGTTGGAATGTCTCATACATAATGATAGCACGATTTAATTAAGATGTTGAATGTATACAACATGCACACGTAATGTAACACCAAGCACATTTTACCCTAACGAATACTGTTCAATCAGAGCACTTTAACTTCGACAGAATCGATACCAAGAGTAAAGGTAAACAAAATAGAGATTTGAAGAAAGGGTTAAAATTTGGAGCACGGTGAACTGAAGCAAAACGCTTATAATATACAAGGTCAACTGAGAAAACCAATCGTTTAATAGCGTTTATGAAAGCCGATTGGTTATAAACTAACTAAATACAGTCAGGTAAATGAAAGCTTTGCAGAGATGTAACGTAGAACTAATCAAATGCGTTTCCGCAATAATACCTTTGGTTTTACATCAATTCAGTTTCGTTGGTGTAAAAATTTGCTAAGATCTTAACTGTGGTATCCGAAACTACGACCACTACACATAGCTGAACTAAGTCTTAACTCCCGTTACTGTCTTTCGATTATTTATCATGGTTCATTAGACAAACAAGATGTTTTCGAAACACACACACGTGAATGCGCTGAAAAGGTAATTTACATCCGGCGGTAAACAGCAAATATTGACACGATTAAAAAGGTTATAAATTGTGGTAGTTGTATGATTGGACAGTATCTTAATATATTTACACAGATATGATCAACACAGAACCTGACACAGATGTGTTTTGGCTCAAGTTCCCATACTACCTTGGCACAAACAAATGAGTTTTAATCCATAGGATAGTGTGATGAGGAAAAGACTTCATTGAGAAACATTCTGATAAGAATACTATTCAAGGATAAAATAGCCATAGAATACCCGCAGTACGATTACAACCCCTTGCTTCCATTTTAAATATCTTTTCTATATATGTAAATTGGTTTCGTAGATAATTACAAAGTTTCGTTAGCATATTTCAACAAAATTGAAATAAGTTGAAAAATTATTCAGCATGTTAATAATAAATGACTTATTCCAATAATTAAAATTTAACTTTTAAACCTTCATACTAGAACAGTTTTTCTTTTTACTAATGTAGCTTAATTTTGTTGACAAAAATTGTTTTAACGATTAATAATGGAAGAAAATTTAAAGTTTTCCTATAAACAGAACTTTGACCTAGAAAATTAAACAAACCTGTTTCGTCAACCGATCAACAATGTAACCATTGCGTTTTTTTTTAAAACAAACACCTTAAATTGACATGAAAATATATATCAGAGGAAGGTAGAGAGGAAAAAAGGAAATAATCTTTACTTTATCGGTACAATCACGATGAAGGTATGGTGAGAGATCTAAATTCTTTAACGGGAAATTCACTGGAGATGATAATTTCGAAGAATATAAATGATTACTACTGAATCTTTTCAAGTGAAGTGTAAGAATTTCCGGCAACGCGACAAGTCTGAACTGTTTCAAACCATTACACCGCCTGTGTAAAGAAGTTTTTTAAAAAAAAGAGTAAATTTATTGCAACCCTTGATGAATACATACATGAAGCGCTAAGAATTAGACTGAAAGAATCCACTAATCTTGTCGACATAAAATTAATAGGAATTTAAAGGACTCTTTTGAATCAAATATAAAAGATGGGGAAAAAAATACAAGTAGTTGAACCAAGACTGTTGATTTAAACCGTGTTACTAGATGTACACTTTGTAGTGTCTGTGAGTTAACACTGGTCAACGGTTGAAGACCTTGTGTTTATAACGCTGGAAATAAGTTGCAATGGTGCAGCCACATTCATTCTTTGTCTCCTTCTAGGTCTTTAGTTTCAATGATGTTTCATACTTTCGATTAAGCTAATACAGTTTTTCTGGAACCATATTTCCTATATTCAGAATATTTTTAATTCTTTGACACTACTGTTATTTCAACTTCACTATTCACCAAGTTTATTTATTTATTTAAGCGCATAAACATTGGTACAAGGAGGCACCAAGCATATATGCGCTAAACTTTGTTGTTCGATTTGCGTGAAGATTGGAATATTTCATGCAATTAGTTCCCTTTATGAATTTAAATAAAGCAAGAACAAATATTGGAATATTGCTTGGGAGCCCAAAACGAAGCAGGCCACTAAGTTCATTTCCCCTCAGTTTGCCTATGTAGCATGGTAAGTGGGTCTCTTACATTATTTGCCCCAGGTCATACGTTGATTTTAGCTGATTGATGAGAGTTCAGTTCTTTCTAGTACACTGAAACAGAAAAGTTTCATGTTTGATTAATAGAAAATATATAGGTTATTTGGTTCACAAATGACGGGAAAAGAAATATCGACCAACTTCATTTCGCATCATTTATATTAAAGAGGAGATAATATTTGGTTTTCATGTCTGTGTCAGCACACTCTCTTGTCCAGGCAATTGATAATCGGAAAAACTAGTGATTAGATAGGGTGTTACAAAAGCGAGATTATGCAACCAGTAAAATGACTGTTCAGTTTAAAAAATAACAAATTCCAGGCAGTGTATATGGCTGATCTTTACCACTCTTAAGCTACCGGTCGAATTTGTGTGCCGTTTTCGAATTGCTGAGTAGTGTAGTTCACAACTTAACTCTTTCTTTAACGAATGGATATGTAAACGTCCAAGTAAAAACAAAACGCCAGCACAAAACTTACCGATTACATCTTCCACAAAAGTATCCATTTTCACCAACTAATTCCGCTTCAGAAAAATAATGAGATAAGCAATCTTCAAGGGTAAGAGTAGACCATTTATCTATCCATTGTTTAGGTCTGTTATATAAACAAAAATAGAAAACAAAAAATAGAAGAATTATGAGTATAGTTTTTTGTGGAGATTGTTGAGTTTGAATTGCTATCATGAACCGATCAACGTTAGACCACCACTGAAAACCTGGAAGCACTGAACGACCGCTTCGTCCCGGTATGGGATACCTCAGCGATGCGCATCAATGATACCGCACACGGAGCTCGATACCAAGAATCTTAGGTCAAAAATTATAAGTTAGATTATTGGAAATTTCCAAATGATATGTATACACGCAAGGTTCTGTGATTACTGTAATATGGTATTTTGATTCTATTGATCCACATTTCCTTCGTACATCATACCTTCCACTGTCATTTCTTTGATATGAACAATAGTAATATGAAATTTGCTCTGACAATTCCACCAGGCTGTGCTAATTGACCGTGACAATGTGAACCGATACCAGATTCTACGTTGTATATGACTGGCTGACTTGCACTATCTACACTGATCATCAAACAACATTCATCTCTATACTAATGAATTTGTAAATATTGTTTGGTGAAACAAAATTTAGAACAATGTCCAGGTTTAAATTGCTCAGATAAAACCCCATGTTGTACATCAGAGGTGACTATACAAATAAAAACAAAAATTCTATACTATGGTCATAGTTCTTTCGTTGGTTCTTTTTTCGTTCCCTATTAAATTTACTATCATTCCCACTATCTTCACTTATCTATTTCTATTTGCCATTGACTTACTCATATTGTTTTGATAGAAAATAAATTAATTTAAACGTATATATATTAATAATTGAAACTAGTACAAATAATTTACGCCAGAACTTACGAGGGCAAAAAGCTTTGTACATAGGATAAAAATATATGAGTTAGGGTTAAAAGCATAGTGAGTAACCAAGGAATACCCATTACCAGACGACCAACAACTGTTGGTAATGTGAATAACGATGATTTTATTTTTGATCCACGTGGTGTAGAATACCTTCTACTTGTTGACTTCGATGGTTGTGTCTGTTGCAAATCATTAGATGTTTTCAAATATACAGGACCATTTTTCAATAAAGAACCTGTGCTTATTGAACCATTCATCAAGGAGGATTTTGTTGATTGATCAACAGAAGAGGATAAATACGTTTGTACAGTAGGTTTGGTAAGGGAAAGGGACAAGTCCATAAATGATTCCTCCCGATTGGAAAGCTATATAGAAGTAACGATCATATATATACAAAAAACTCACTAAAAATTTACTGTAAATGTTAATGTTAGTGAACACTTCATCAAATAAATGGAAGCACTGTTGCATAAAATATATGAATTAAATTTGTGAGAACGGAGATAATGAAGACTCGTAAAACGCCTTTTAAATCATCCGGAGCTAAGCCAGAAAAATCTAAAAATTTCAGAATCTATCACAAGGACATACATCTTCACACGTAAAGTGATTAAATGCAGTCGATAGAAAACCCTAAACCTAGATTTAGTGCTATCTGGCACCTGTTAGTAGGGTGTACTTGTAATCTCAAGATAACTAATACTCTGACCGATTCAATTCTGACACCCAAATGTGCAATCAGAGACGTTACCACTAAGCTATTCGAGATGCGACTGACCTCCTGTAGGACAGAGATGTATTAACCATTGACCGATTACTGAGTAGTCGTCAATGTCATGTACGTCTTTTGTAATGTTGACCGAATTTTGTCGATTAAATTCACTAAGAAGGACTTGACATACACAATAATCACTACTCAGTGATCAGTTAATTATCAACACGTACATTTAATTTTTCAAAAAGGAGAAAAGTGGACAAGAGAATTACAGAACGACCAGAAATCCTTTATTTTTTCCAGACGAAACATCGCATTTAATAAACACCAGAGAGAAATCATAGTACGCTATATTTATCGAGGTAAATTGAAATTGCTGTACAAAATTCTTGAAGACTAAGAAAAATTTACAAATGTTTAAATAATCTAAATGTACAGGTCTCAGATTCATTTTTATTCTGTTTATATGTATGGTACTAGAAAAAATAAATATATTTCATTAATAAATTTCAACAGAATTTAAATCAGCAAGGACATATGTAAATTAATGGGCTTCAATGAAATTAATTTTGAATGAATAAAATTTACATTCATAGCCTTCTCCAAACTGTATGTGACACACACTCTATAGACTGAACAACAAAGTACCTATTATCGTGAATATTTGTGTACTGTGAATTCAAAAAAAAAAGAAAAGGAATGAATGAGACTGTATAGCTAGCTTTATAAATTGATATCATGAAAAACACTCTTTTTTTCGTCAAACTGACTTTACTTATTTTATGATATAACGGGTTTCCTTGGTTTTTTCAGATTCATTTAACTTAAAAGTTCTTATTAAACTGCAGACAACAAAGAACTGAACAGTTATTTCTAATTAATATGGGACTTTTCAGCAGTGACATTCACAATACCAAACTATTCTTGGCCCAAGACAGAAATTATCTTCAAAATTAAACAACTTTTCACACTGGGTAAACAAAAAATTCATTTCGCAAGTTGAAGGATTTGAATATAATTGTCAAAAGACAGCAACTTCCATTGGTCACAGTCAGTCATAATTAATGTAGAGGCGACGACAAATTACCTTAGCCCACGTCGATATTACCATATTAAACCAGAAATAAGATTAAAAACATGGATAATAAATTTTAAAAAAAGTGCAGTACCAATGATAACGATGAAGACTAAACCTTATAAATATGATCCGAAAAGGTATTTATGAGGGAAAACTAGGACTCAAGAACTGTAGGAGGACGAAGAATGAAAGCGTTTGCGCCATTGTGACTGATTCTAAGCCATAGCACTCAACGTCTACAACCATTAAACACGGCCACCACTTGAATCTTAATCAGGTGGTCCGCATCCACAAACATGGTTTAGACCAACAGTCAGCGACTTCATAAACTGATCCTAGGTTTTAGTATGGCCACCTCTAGATTGCTTTTAACATATTCCAACATTAACTAACACAGCTCACCGAGGTAAGGGGCAGTTATCCATACGGAATGTATGACCCATAACCTCACCAACCAATTTATCATATATACCCATTACTCTAATGTCTAGCCATAGTATTGCTTATTTGGTCGTTCCACGAAACCCAAGAAATGCTTCGAAGACATTTGAAGCCTACGTATCTCTTCTACTTCTATGAAACATGTGTCACGGACATATAGTAACACAGAACGAACTGTTGTGCAGTATACTCCCCTTTTGTTTGGCAAACGGACATCTCACCTACCCCATAAGTGACTCAAAGTTAACAGAAGCCGAGAGTTTTCTAAATGTGTCTGCATTTATTTAGACATCAAAAACAGAAACTTTAATAATTCCAAATTTCATAAGATCATTTGAAACATTAACAAACTAAACATCATAACTGGGAATGAAAGGAAATATTTTTCAAGATTTCTGTAACAACGAATACGTAACTAACCCGACTGCATGACAGACAACGGACAGAACTAACTAATCTGCCCTGAAAGACATCTGTAATTATACTGTTGTTACTGTTGTCCGAAGAACCAGTAGTAGTTGTTTGTTTGATGCCTACATAAAATATAAAGAGGAAGATTCGCATTTAGAGATAGCAACATTTGAAAAGGGACTTTTATGTTTCGGACCAACAATCACTTCCCAGAGTGGATTAACATAAATAATTGACGGTTAAACTTGACTAGAACATCACCATACTTATTGTAGGCCAACAATCTTTGTCCTTACATCAGGGCCCCCTTTGATTCGTTGGACAGGACTATTCTTCGGGATTGTTTATTGAAGAATAAAGTGCCTGAGAAGTTTATTAACATTTTGAAAGTCCTAAATGCAAACACATCAAGCAGAGAGTGAGGGTGTACAACACCTTACCTCCATTGTTCCGTTCAAGCAGGGGTAGCCAATCTTATCATTCCACTCCAATTTCGCTATCGATTACGTCCTGGAAACAGCTCAATGGAAATAGGTAGTAGCGGTGTGAGTCTGCTACCTGGAAAAAGACTCTTCGACCTTGAGTATGCGGATGATACGTTCTTACTGTGAAAAGATATCCATGCCATAAAATCTGCAATCAGTATCCGCAGGAATGGCATATGTTTTGCGGCTTCTTAGTTTAAAGTACTTTTATAAGACTGGCAAGAGCCTGTGCCTATACTCACTCTTAGTAGTGAACCGTCAGAAGTAATGCGAAAGTTCGTGCATTTAGGTAGCTATGCAAGTGCTGGTGTGATTCATGAGATAAATGTACGTACAGCAGAAACCAGAGAAGCTTATGACAATCTACGTCATCTTCGGAGCCTATGTTGTTAGCCTGGATGTAAAGGGTTGGATTGACAATGAGTCGGTGACAGCAGTTTTGCGTTATGCTTATAAAACCTGACCTCATCAAGTTGAGGATGTTAGGCAACTCTGTGTTCGACTATCGTTGTCCCCCAGGGATTTCTGACATCCAGTGACAACATTTTTTCAATGTAAACGTCTAGTTATATATAGTGATGATAAAGATGATGAAGACGCTGACAAAATGCAGAGTCTTCTGGTAGCACTGAGCAACAATGCCAGAATGTTTGGAATGCGCTTCTCTCCCTCTAAATGCAAGTTGTTGTTTCAGGACTGGTCTGCGTTAACACCTGAACTAAGGATAGGGAGTGAAGTAGTCGAACGCGTTGACAACTTCACTTATCTTGGAAGTCTGATCAGCCCTAATGGGTTGGTATCGGACGAAATCTCAGCACGGATTCGAAAAGCTCGATTGGCTTTTGCCAACTTGCGCCACCTTTGACGAAGGCGAGATATCCGTCTATCAATAAAAGGACGAGTATACTGCGCGGCAGTTCGTTCTGTTTTAATTTACGGCAGCGAAACATGGCCATTAAGAGTAGAAGACACTCGTAAGCTACTAGTATTTGACCACAGATGCCTTAGAAATATTGCTGGCGTCTGCTGGGATCACCGGGTAAGTAATAGTGAGGTTAGACGCAGGGTATTAGGGAATGATGGTAAATCAGTTGATGAGGTTATGAATCTTCATCGACTGAGATGGTTGGGCCACGTGTTACGTATGCCTGAATACCGATTACCACGACGTGCAATGCTATCCGGTATTGGAGATGGTTGGAAGAAAGTTAGGGGCGGCCAAACCGAAGCGTGGCATCAGTGCTTGAAGTCACTAACTTCTAGTCTGAGCCATGTTGGTAGATGCAGACTACTTGGTTGGGGTCCGCGTGACTATCGTAACCAATGGTTGGAGACTCTTGGTGACATGGCTCAGAATCGATCACAATGGCGTCGGTGTATACACTCCCTGTCTTCCCTTAAACTAAGAGATTAAAATCGTTTCATATCTTTCTTTCTTCTTGTACTATATCTCTATATGCAATCTTTCTCTTACATATTACTACCTTTGACCTAACCACTGCTATGAATCCGGTGTTCATCTTGTTGTGCTGATGCGGTATGGCAACCTGGACCGATGCACATATGTGCCTGGTCCTACGTTGTAGCTGACTGACTGACTGAGTGATGATAACTCAGTTATTGTCACCATCTAGAAACACCGACTTCGGTGACTTGGACATGTGCTACAAATGTCGTCCCAGCGAATCCATAATTTGTTGACGATAGGGCCGATCGGAAGAAGCGGAGAGGTGATCAGTTTATGATATGGTGTCGTGGTATGGGAAAAATCTGGACAGAACTGGCATCTATCAGTCCTTCACGACTCCCTGGCTCAGGTCCTAGAGATGGTCCAACACTGGCCTGAGACAATAACAGACAGCTGAGAATAAAAGTCAGTAGCTGTCCTGTTATCTTTTTTGAACTTCTTCGGGTAAGAAGAATTTCTTTACTGAAAGAAACATTTCCGGTTGTATTTTTGTTAACTGGACTGCTTCATTCATTATTTTTCTGTCCCATTCACACATTACTTTTGTTATAATCACCTCCCGTTCTCGATCTCTTTAAATACTCATTTTCTCATTGTGTAACGCATAAATATTCTGGTGCCCCTTTGAACCAATATTTATGTGTTTAAATAAGTAAATAAACTATTGAAAATTAATGTTCCTACACTTAAGGTCTGATTAACCAGTTTATGTGGAGTAATTATAACCTGTTAGTAGTGATACAAAGTAACTGTGTAAATTAATATCTGATATAATTCAACCACTAGTTGTGAAAGTGAACACAAATTTTTGTCTATAGTTGTCTTGTTTTCATAGAACAAAGGATAACCTAAAAATTATTCAAAACCAGTGTAAATTTGTCACAGCCCATTATAATTTCAATCATGGCCTTTCGAATGAGCTTGTGTTTAGCCTAATAAGACATTCATGTAGTTTTAACCTGTTAATACAGGTATAATTATTCTAGTAAACTAATACCCTCTACAATTTATTCACCTATTATAAGTTTCTTTTTTAAGATTTGATTTACAAGTGGTGTAAATGCACTGAATGATAATCAGCTTCTCAGGTCGAAATGGAGGCTTGAATGCATAAAGCGAAAACCTAATATATCGTTCCTATGAGAAACTCAGAGATTATGACAATTGTCAGATTAAACCAGTGGATCAAATAGAACTTAGAAAATGAAGCTGAACTACTTAAAAACAAAGCAAACACAGAGCAGTGTAAACTGAGGCCAATATTTAGCTAATAGAGTAAGACTCACATATTCTGACCTACTATTAATGACAGGCAAAAACATTAAAGTTACAATTTATTTCTTTGGTCTGATAGTACCTTTTTTGTCTGAGTTTGAAAGCCATGAGTGTTTCAGTTCCTCGTGCAGCTGGACTAAAAATAGTCTCAAAAACTCTTGAGCATCTTGTTGTGCATAACCTCTGAACATTGGGTGCACAATGCAGAAAGTATCTAAAATTGTATTTGCATTGAAACAGCGTGGTCTAAATGAGGAAAGGTAAAAGAAAAACAGATCAACAGTGCGAATTACATGGTACTACGTATGAGATTCAAATTAATTGAAACTAAAGGAGAAAATCAACCAGAACAGCTTTCTGTAAACCGTCATTTGTTATCTAAGAAAAACGGATGGATCACAATCTTATTTTAGTAAAGTCACGTGTACCAACATTTAGAATCTATGAATCACATTTCCATCCCAAAAGTTAAAGCAAAATCCGCAAAATTGTTAACCGGATTCAGAAATATATATTACGGTGACTAAGTATAAAACATACTTCCGTATATTTATTGAGAATTTTGTCATTAATTTTCAGGCATAAAAGTGCATTGATTCAACCTATCACACTCGACATTAATACACAGGAATTAAAGAAGCTGCAGTAATAGTAGTACCAATGATAGTAGAAAACTAGGCAAAGAGATGTAGGTCGAGAAAAACAAGTGACGTCACAGAAAAACGAACTAGAAATTTCAGGGATTTTCCTTTTTCTTAAACACAACCTAGTTGTACTCTATAGGTTACTAGGATTCCAGAAATTGTTTTCGAAGTAATTCATTAGAATTAACGTCACTAAGATATTATTATTATTATTATTTGGACACATGAATATTGGTACAAGAGAGCGCCAATATATATGCGCCACACAAAACAATGAAAATTCGAGAGGAATACAGAGAAAGAAAGAAAAGCTAAGGAGCGCAACAAAAAAAAAGAGAACAATAACGAAGAGATTGGTGTAAGGTAATGTGCTAGTAATCAGGGAACGCAAAGGTACAATCGGAAGAAATCTTTCAGGTAAGGGAGACACAACCACTTTCTATGAAGAAAGTAAAAGAAGGTTACAGCAGGATCGCCACTGGCTTCTATTCTGAGCCATATCTGATAACGTCTCTAGCCACTGTGTAGCACCATCTCTCAGACCCCAACCAGGGAGTCGTGAAGGACCAACACAAGCCAGTCGTTGCAGCTTTCTTTCATGCCACGACACCATGTCATGCACTGACCACCTCTCCGCTTCTTCCAACCAGTCCCAGAGTCGGCAAATAATGCACGACGTGGAATTCTGTGGGACGACATTCGTAGAACATATCCAAGCCACCGAAGTCGGTGTTTCAAGATGGTGACGCCAATTGAATTACCATCTCTGTGCCCGAACGCACGACGCCGAGCCTCTGCATTACTGACATGGTGTTGCCACTGAATGTCAGCAATCCTTCGGAGACAGCGATGATCGAACACAGAGAGTCGTCTAACGTCCTCAACTCGGAGAGGCCAGGTTTCACAAGCATAGAGCAAAACTGCTTCCACCGACGCATTATAGGGCGGACCTTTTACGGCCAGACTAACATCACAAAGGCGCCAAAGGTGGCCCAGATTGGCATAAGCCGCTCTGGCTTTCACTATACGTGCATTGATCTCATCACTCACACCCCCACCAGCACTTATGCAGCTACCCAGATACACGAACTTCTCGACTACGTCTATCTGCTCACCATCCAGGGTGAGTACAGGATTGGAATCCTGCCAGTCTTGTAGAAGTACTTTGCACTTCGAAGGTCCGAAGCACATACCATACCTACGGACACTGATTCCCAACTGATTAAGTGCGGATTGCATGCCTTGGGCATTATCGCACAGTAAGACAATATCGTCCGCATACTCAAGGTCGAGAAGTCTTTCTCCAGGCAACAGATCCACACCACCATTACTTACATTCATCAGAGCTGTTTCCAGAATGTCATCGATGGCAAAGTTGAAGAGGAATGGTGAGATTGGGCAACCCTGCCTAACCCCACTACTCGAATGGAACAATGGAGAGAGGTGGTTGTATGCCCTCACTCTGCCTGAGGTGTCTTTATATAGGGCTTTTAGGATGTTAATAAACTTCTCAGGCACACCCTTCTTCAATAGACAATCCCAGAGAACAGTCCTGTCCAACGAATCGAAGGCAGCCCTGATGTCAAGAAACACTACGATTGTTGGCCTTTGATAAGTATGGCGATGTTCTAACATTTGGCGGAGGATGAAGATATGATCAATACATCCTCGACCAGAACGAAACCCAACCTGCTCCTCGCGAGCAAGGAACCAAGAACTGAAAATGTCTCAAATTTTTAAACGCACTTAAGATTATCACGTTCGCAAATGAATTTTTTACCTCTTAATATCCATACTATCGACGTTTTTCGGTAGCTTCATATTTTTCCGCATGTATGGTAAGTTTTGACATTTCGGGTTTATAAAACGTTATTCTTTGCTCTCTGAAACTGTGCTTACAACAATATGTAGGAGCTTCTGTTGTTCTAAAGGTGAATTACATAGAACAACAAGCTTCATTAACTATTTGAACATTGGAGAACTTAAAAATGTAGCAAGTTTGAAACCACGGAAAACACTAAGATCAAATGGATTGATAACGCAGGTGTTAAACGGTGACAGTTCAGTTTCTAACCTGAATCGATGAACATTTGTCTTAGGTCTTATGACTGACATCAAGATAGGTGAGATCGCTAATTGATAGATGGCCGTGGTGGTATAAAGTAGCCGAGCAATTGCTGTTTACTAAACCGTATTATTAACTTAAAGTCTCGAAAGATTAGAAATCAAAGACAAGGCCGCTAGTCAGATGAATAAGTTTGTCATAAGAAGTAATACGCTTATGCACAGAATATAAACACAAAAGTACGCAATGAAAAATAACAGGAAACTAGCTTGGATGCCATTTGTTATCCAATCAATCATGATTTGACCGTTGAGCCTAATCTCGGGCACTATCAGTGTATAAGACTTAATGATAATATTACTTAATAGTGGAGTATTGAACTCAAAGTTCACTTAGCCAGGACCCGGCTTGAGTATTCATATATTACTACTGCTCCTCACGCGAAGTATGGCTGAGAACCTGATATTTAAACTTGCAAATGACTGAGTTATATCATCATTGCGTCGCTTGCTTGGAATAGCAGTATCGTGGCAACCAACAGAATAACTGAACAAAGTTTTGTGTCGATAAACATTCGAAGTACCAAAAGACATGATGACGGAACGAAAAGTCCACACGATAATCTGAATTAGCAGTTGGTATCATAAGTGAGAAAGTCAAAAATAAATAATTTTACCTATCTCGACAAATATCAAGTGAGTTGTTTCTCGTTTTATTTCTATTCGAACGATGTCCTAAATCCTTGATTTTAAACTGTCAATGAAACGACTATAATTTCACCTCCTGATTCTTATCATCATTCCTCTTCCTGTGCAGATGACGTATTGCCATAGACAAAATGCCAAGCATCGTTGCGGAACAACTAGTGACAACCTCGCTCTAAACTTCCAAGTATACCCCGGTCCATAATAGCTAATGTTGTAAGATCAAAAAGGAAGGCATTTTTACAAGCCTGTTACTTGCCATATTTGACATGTAAAATCTAACTGACTAACTCGCGTTTTCAAGTATGTTAAGGGAGAACTGTGACACCATACTGCTGGGGTCAGACATAATAACAGTGAAATGAGAATCAAGGCAGAAGTACACACAAAGTTATAAAAGCTGAGTTACCAAGGTCTGACAGATATGCATTTTGTCTAAACATTAAATCTAATTACCTTTCATTTCCCCAAAATTCAGAAAGTAGTGTGCAATAATGATTGAACAACACAAGCCTTCGATTTGGATCAAGGATGTTATGACACTCGAGGAAAAATTCCGTTAAATGTGGACTGCAAAACTGAAAAGAATCACTGAAAGTTACCAATTTGATAAGGCTTGTAAAGCGGCATTCATGTAACAAGTGTTGCCTATATTACGAAGCCCACCAAGCCCAAAAGAAAGCAACTGATCCGAACTTATTATAGTATCTCCAAACTCATTCATATTTACAAACATTATTATAACACATGACGCCAGCAGCCAATATGTACAACCCGCGCCAAGGTGACAAGAACCAAAGTACAATTACAGACATCATATTCCGACATTTATATTAAGGATAGAAAACCTACGGCCTGTGTTAGTCATTTTCTAGTAGACCTCTAAGAGTGAACAATCTTCTCATGAATAAAACAACTGAAGCAGTGGACACCTGTCATTAAGGTGTATTGTAGTATCTGAATAAATCTGACCATTTGACTTAATAGCTTAAATAAAGCAGACTTGAGGTAATCTGTTAAGTGGATGTGTGTATTCTGTATACATGGATGGAGTAGTTATGAGAGTAGTAGTTTCAGTTTCAGTTTGGGAAGGACAGGAGGCTCGATGGCCTATGTTAGTCCTGGCAATGGTGGTCTCTCAGTTGATCCAACTTTCTTTTGAAAGAGTCGATGAATGCAGCCTCAACCACGTGCTGAGGTAGTGAATTCCACTCGTTGATGATTCGATGGGAAAGTCGATAGTCAGCTGACAAGTAATTTGTTATCGGCTTATGAACTTTTTTGAGGTGTCCTCGTAAATTCTCTGTTTTGGAAGACAAGAAAAATGAGGGCATATCAGGTGCAAATTAATCAGTAGGCAGTTTGTAGACTGTAATCAAGTCGCCTCTAGTTCTGCGATATGACAACGGGAAAAGTTTTAGCTTGGCCAGTTGAGCTTCATGCGGAAGCTTCGTTTTTCTGGGAATCAGCTTAGTTGCCGTTCTCTGAACCTTTTCCAGAAGCTCACTGTCTTTTTTTAAGCAGGGGCTGACCGCTTGTATGCAGTACTCAAGTTTGGGAAGTACGAACACTGTATACAAAGTCAAAAACGTTTTAGCGTCGACATGACTAAAAGCCCTGCCTATTGACCATAAGGTTCTAAAACCTTTAGCGGCTATTGCACGGCAGTGTGCAGTAGTCTTTAAGTCTTGGCTAACGATAACTCCCAAGTCATTATATGTCTGTACGACAGGTAGCTCAGTGTTATTCATCGTATATGTATCTGTACCTTGACGACCGATATGCATCACAACACACTTGGAAGTATTTATCGGCAACTGTCAGGTTTGAGACCATTCAGATAATTTCTTCAGGTCATTTTGGAGTTCCAAACTGTCATCCTTACATCGTATCGTTCTCCATATCTTGACATCGTCAGCATATAGCAAGACCGATGATGATGGGAGACGAGGAAGGTCATTTACATACAAGAGGAATAGCACTGGCCCCAAAACTGTACCCTGGGGCACTCCACTAAGCACGATTCCCCAGCTAGATAACTTTGAGTTCACTCGAACTCTTTCTTAACGCCCAACTATGAAGTCTTTTATCCACATAAATAGATCGCCTCCAATTCCGACATTTCTTAACTTATGTAACAGCTGGTTGTGCGGAACCTCATCAAAAGCTTTGCTGAAATCAATGAAGGCTACGTCTACAGGTAACTTTTGGTCATTGAGAGCGCACCAGACAGGGATAACCCATTCTGAAACCGTGCTGCTTTTCCGAAAGGATCCGGTTTTTATCGAGGTACTTAAACAGCTCCTTCCAAATAATCTTTTCTAAGATTTTGACAACCACACTAGTTAGGCTAACTGGCCGGTAATTCTCAGGTTTATGTTCCGTACCTGTTTTGGAGACAAGACTTACTGTGGCGTTCTTCCAGTCTTTTGATAAACGACTTTGCGTTACGGATAGATTAAAGCATATACTTAAAGGGTTCGCAACGAAGTTAGATAATTCTTTCAGTAGCCTAGGATGCAATTCATCGGGTCCCGTGGATTTACCTATGTCAAGCTTGTTTAGCAAACTAAAGACATCGAGTTCTTTGATGACCACGTTATCCAGTATACGTGTGGGGGATCTGTATGCGCTGATGGGAAGGGTGTTTCTATGGTGTTTACATTGCTAAAGTAGTTTGAGAACACTTGAGCCTTACCAAAGTCATCCTCCACTAGTGACGCGGCAGTACTGTCTCCCCACAGAGCAGGAATATTTCCTCTTCCCTTTGTCCCCTGGTTTATATAAGCGTTTAGGACATTCAATGGATTCCTTAACAATCTTTTCTTTGTACAACTTTCTAGACTTACGGAGGGTCGAAGCACGGGTATTCCGGACATTTCTATGCTGGGATTTAGTTTCATCAGTCCCCAGTAACCTAAATCTATACCACATTTTTCTTCTCTTACGGAGAAGGATGCGGACCTCCCTACTGAACCATGGTGGGGAGTTTCTCGGCCCCCTCGGTATAGTCCAAGGGATGTGGGGTGTGGTAACTTTTAAGTATGAATTTCGAAATGCGTCCCAGGCCGTTTCAACTGAGGTCTCTGGGTCTATTGTCCAATCTATTAACGATGCTGGGTGCATGATATCTGGTATATTTACTTTCCAGACATTAGGTCTGGATTGCGCTAACACGTGCTCGTGATTGACAGTTATATGGAAGTCGAAAATTAAAACTGCGTGATCACTTTTACCTAGGGGTGGCATATAATGAAGGTTCGCAACGTCATCCACATAGTGAGTGAGTATCAGATCTAGTAGGGATGATTCAGTGTCCGGGTCGTACCTTGTCGCTTCTTTCACATGTTGCACTAGAGCACATGTGATAACCGCATCAACTAGTTCCTGCTCGAAGGGACTTTCTGACGATTCAGTTCGCAGATTTTCCCAGTCTACCATAGGTGCATTAAAGTCCCCTAGGATTAGACACCGACCACTTTGTGACCAAGTATTGAGACTGCTTAGCAGGACTTCATTTATCTCACAGCTTGGACTGCGATAGACCAAACCAATCAGCAGCTCTTGTCCCTTGCATTTCAAGCGGAGACTTGTAGAATTATGGTCTACTATGATATTAGTACTGCTCTTATAATAGACCTAATCTTAAATTTGTAGATTTGTCATGATGTAACTGCCTAACCTATAAGATCTTACGTGGAAGTCACACCATCGACTACACCAACTCACTGTATCGTATCAATTACCAATACATGATGTAGAACAAGGTTAGGCTAGAGAAGGAACAATATATTTAATATGAATAGAAGATATACGGTAACATTCAGCAGAGACCACGCCTGCATGGCCGAGCCATGCCACTCGATCAACTCCAGTCCATCCAATTCATTGTTCGCGCCTTCTCCATTGTTAGGTATTTCTCCGCGTTAAATATTGAATATTTATTTTCTGAGTAGTCTCGTGTTCACAGCTTTGTGGATTGTATGGCTATTGTCCAATGCCACTACAGACTAACTAATTCACATGTCCCACTCTCATGGGATACACTGTCGATAATGACAAATGGGATAGCATTCCTAATGAATAGAGCTACTCCCCCTCCTTTACGCTTTTGTATTCTGTCGGCCCTTACTAACATTGAGCCCTCGAAATCAAGTTCCGTACTATATACAGACTGTGTCAGCCAGGTTTCTGTGATTGCGATTATGTCTGGCTTTGTAGAGTCAATCTGTACACTTTGTTCCGACCGCTTATTGAGCGATTTTCAGGCATCTGTGTAACAGATTCGAAACCTATTTAAATGGCTTCGTGTTGCATCCAGAGTAGCTTCGACATCATTCTCTGTCGAAGCCTCATAACCCGGAAATTTACATTTTTCAGGTCCTTTTCGTCAGCGTCTAACCTAATTTGTAGTTATTTTTCGGCTCCCCGTCTTTTTACACGGTCTGCCAACGGTAAGTCCTTACGGATAAAAGCTCCTGAACCCTTTAATTTATGTCCATTCTGTAAGATTAAACCGCGTTCATTCGAAGATTTGAATACTACTTTAAGCAGTCTGGATTGATTAGGCTTCAAATTCGCTAGACTACCTAGTCTGTACACTTTTAGCAAGGTGACCCCGAGTGATATTTTGAGGCATGAGTTGATTAAGCAGCTGCTTAATCAGCACAGTGTTATGCTTAAAACGAGATTTGGGTTCAGAGCTCTCGCTCTCCTTGATTCTATGAAAAATAGCTGATCTGTCGCTATGATCAGCTTTCGATTTTACGACTACTTTCGCGGGGGTAGGATTACCTTTTATATTGCTACTTTTTTCTTCCTAACAACCTGTACCCACTCGTCAACTGTGCTGGGAGAAGCAACAAGTTGCGTCAAACCCAGTGTTGGATTCTGGAGGGTTGTCGACGACCTGGGAGGTCAGGTTATGTTCACCGCTTGGAACCGATCGAGCCTTGCGATTGCGGCTTCTAGGCGTTTCCTATGGGATCCCATCTGGGAGACGGGGAACAGAAGAACCTACCTTCCTTGAGCCTTTTTTTAAGACAGGCCTCTTTGGGGGCCGCTTTTCCTTCTTTGACGGGCGTGAGTCATCTACTATCGAACTGACCTTAGTTTGCTTCATGTCGATTTGTGTGTCTACAGATCGAGTGCTGTTTGACGTGTTCCGACTACGCTTGCTAAAACACTTCTTTGCAGCATCAACCAGTGAGATGGCCTCGGTTAACAGGCAATTTGCTCTAGGCTTGTGAACTTTTTTGGAGTGTCCCCGCAAATTCTCTGTCTTGTAAGATAAGGAAAATGAGGGCATATCAGGTGCAAATTTATAACTAAGCAATTTGAAAACTGTGATAAAGTCGCCTTTAGTTCTACGATATGACAACGGGAAAAGTTTTAGCTTGGCCGGTTAAGCATCAACGGAAGCTTCGTGATTCCGAGAATCATCTTATTTACTGCTCTCTGAACCTTTTTTCAGAGGCTCACAGTCTTTTTTAAGTAGGGGCTAGCCGCTTGTACGTAGCACTCAAGCTTAGGACGTACGAACACTGTATACAAAGTCAAAAAAGAGGGGATATATCAGGTCCAAAACTACTCCTTAGTATTCTATACATCAAAATCAGACCACCTCGCAATCTGAGGTAGGACAGAGTAAGGAAGTCTAACTTCGTAGCCCTCTCTTTGCATGGTAAACTTTAGAATTCTGGAATTGCGTCTTTCTGTGCTTTTTCCAGGATACCCGGGTCACCTTTTGAGCAGCAGTTTGCAGTCTTAACAAAGGTTTCGAGTTCGGA